AGCTTGAATATTTTACTCTTGAATCTTGATGCAGTTCTAATTTCTGGACCTTGTGTCCTTGCACATTGGTGGAGCTGAATTTTTTCAGAAAATAACCCTGATCAAGGTAAGGAACTGCCCCTGCCGGTAGTTGAGCTCACCACAACATGGGAGCAGGTAACTTTAGTACTCCCTTGATAGAAGTTTTTTACATTTGCCTCGAGTAAAAAAAAAAGGGTTCCTGGATAAGGTGTTGAATAAGCTTAGCCTTTTTCAACAAGGTGTCCATTTAAGTAAGAACAACACCATAGCATTGGGCCACCAACATAACAATTTATCAAAGTAGTGAACGTGAATCAACTAAACATGATGAACGTGACTAGAAGAAATTCCCATGTGTCCTCGAGAATGCTTTGATCATTATAAGAAATAGTCTGGGCTTGTCCTTTGCAATATAAGGATTGAGCCACCTTGCTGCACCTTGTTACTTTGGTTATTCGTTACTTGCTCCTAATTTTCTTGCTATCAAACTATCTGTTATTACTACTTTACACCACTTGTAGAGAATACCTTGTTGAAACCGCTTATCAATTCCTTCTGCTCCTCGTTGGGTTCGACACTCTTACTTATCAAAAGGACTATGATTGATCCCCTATACTTGTTGGTCATCAGAGATTTCTTCATGAAAAACTTGATATGATCATTCCTATGCTTACTTCTAATTTTAAAAAGTTCCTTCTAATCCTAATGATGTTCCTTTAGCTTCTTTGATTGAAAAAAATAAGGATCAAGTTGATGTTAATTTTATTTTAGGAATAACTTTAGTAACAATGCTTATAGGAGTAATTTTGGGAAAAATACTTGGTCGTATCCTCCTAATCCTTCAAATTCCTATGGGAATTCTTACAACAATAATGATTGAATACCTAGTGAACTTGAGGGGGTTATAAAGCATTTTATTGTTCAACAAAAGGCTGTCAACATTAACGTAAGTGAAAATTCTGTAAAATCTTGATTCTGTTGCTTGTACGGTTGATAGCCTAGTCCATGAAGTTGATTTGCTTAAGATAAAAATATTACCATCTTCTAAAGATGATATACCAGAATCTCGAAAGCTATCCAAATTTCCATAGATTACAATGCTAAGATGATTGCTATGCTAAGAGCTCAAAGAGAAAGAGAGGCTAGGAAAGCTGAAATTCATTCTACTTCTAACGATGAGGATATTGAAATTTTGAGTACTAGTGGTGAACCAACTATAGACCGTTTGCCTAGAGGTCTTAATTATGTTAAAGATGAAGACTAATCTTGTCACAAAAATGTCAAAAGTGAGACTGGAGAGGTTAAAACTTCAGGTGGCATTACTCTCATTTTGCATTATAAGGATTTTAATTATGATAATTGTTGTGTTACTGAATGTATTACACTATTGAAACCATGATGAACTCTCCTAATGCTTATGAACAAAAAAAATTGTTGGAAACTTCCAATTTATGTATCTTCAATCATGGCAGTACAAGGTACACTAGAAATAATAAAAAATTACATATAGATCTGTAGATCACCTACCTCCGACTACAAGCACTGAAGCGAGTCGAAGGCACACCACCATCATCGCCCCTCCCTCGCCGAAGCCGGGCAAGTTGTAGTAGACCCATAGGACCAGCGCAATAGAACAACAACTGCCCGCCGATGAGGAGTAGCATAGATCGGAAGGATCCACCCTGAAGACACACAAACATGGATGAACAACAAACATATCCAAGAAAATGCACCAAAGATAGATGAGCCGGAGACACACCTCCACACACCTACCAACAATGCTAGACGCACATCAGGGTGGGAGCTGGATGGGGTGAATCTTATTCCATCTTCAAGGAGCCACCAACGTGCCGTCTTCCTAAGTAGGACACGAACCATAAAGAAATTTGAAGAAACAAGTAAAAACGGAGCCCTCCCGCTGGCAACGAGTTCCACCGCGCTCCGATATCACTATGGCCACCGAAGACGAGACGGACATGCGGCGTCGCCAACGGGAGGCAGAGGAACCCTAAGCTTTATTTGGAGCAGAGGTGGCTAATTACAACTGTATCCCTAACAAAACAAAACTTTTACTAAACATATTGTTGACACACTTACCAAAGCTAGTGGAGAAAAAATAGAATAAGAGGCTTAAAATTCCGAGAAAATTAGAGGATGGTTGGGAACCTACTATCAAGATTAAAATCAAGAGTTATAAATGCAATTCTTTATGTGATTTGCGTGCTAGTGTTGCCACCATACTAAGAGCTTTATATGATGTGCTTGGTTTGAATTCTATGTTCAAATGCACTTTAATTTGACATCGTGCAGATCCAACTATTAAGAAACTTTTGGGAAGAATATATGTTGTTCAAATTATAGCAAATATGAATTATGTTCCCGTCGATTTCATTATTATGGATATAGAATGCAATCCCTTATGCCTTACAATACTTGGTAGACCTTTCTTGAGAACTATTGGTGCAATTATTGATATAAAAGAGGGCAACGTAATGTTTTAATTTGCATTAAAAAGGGGGATGGACCACTTCCCTAGGAAGAAAAATAAATTACCTTATGAATTTATTATGAGAGCTACATATGCTTTTATCATTAAGTGATGAGAAAATGTGATAAAATTATCATGCCTAGCTAAAAGGTATTAAAGAATGCTTGTTGGGTGGTAACCCAATATTTATCTTTAATATGTTTTTGTCTACATGATTATGCCACTCTAGTAATCATGTTTTGTATCTTTTCTTTAAATAAAGTGCCAAGAGTAGCCTCTTAGATATTAAAATTAAAACTACAAGTTTGATATGTGTTGTGCAGAAACATAAATGGCAGTGTCCACAAAGGGTGTGAAGGCGCAGCCGTGTTGGGTGATGATCTTTCTACGTCTTTGCGTTGCACGATGTCGATAGTGGCGCCAGACTCTCTCCGAGCGACGCTCGTCGGTGTAGATGGGAGGTAAAATAGGAATGAATACAAGTGGCCAAAACATGATGGGTGGGAGAGTGATGCCGAGAGCGGTGAAGGGAGAGAGTGGTGTCGGGGATGGGCTGTGAGGTTTTCATTCTGGAGGGGCAGCGGATAATTGATTATACAATGCCTGAAGAAAACAATAGTTACCGATGAGAAAAGGGTCTTATTTGAATACACTACACCGACAGGTTGAATACAGTAGCCCGTTAGTGATTTTTCATCCTTTTTTCTATCATCGAGGCAAGCTATCACTGACTGGTCAGTTTTAGACCGGTGTGTGATAACGATCTTACTGAGTTTAAAAGTCGATATCATTGAAACCTTAGGAGAGGCCGGTCAGTGATAAGGCTTATCACTGATGCGTGATCAATGGTTGGTCGGTGCCAAGGGGTCTCTCCTATTTAGATCTGTATCAGTGAAAGAGTGAACTACGTGTGTGGAGGCACGTACCATGGACTTCTGGCCCATTAACTGTCAGTGCCCATGATCTCATCGAGAATCATTACTTGAGAATAGGGCTCAATCGCACAATGAGTCATTGAATGGAACATAAGATGGCCCGGCTAGTTTATCTCGTTTAGCTAGCTACAAGATGCGGTTTCAGGAAAAGGTTCCAGTCTATTTTTTTAGCCTTTTATTTTTTTAAATCTTATTTACACTTTTCAATTTTTGTTTTTAAAACATTTTAGAAAATCCCATGGTTAAGAATATTTATGTTTTATTAAAAATGTTAAAAAAAACTCTGATTTTTAAAAGATGGTTCAATATTTACAAAATATCCAACTGTAAATAAATTCATATTTTTCTCAAGATGTTAAAAAAATTCAAAAAACTATTCACAAGTTTTAAAATGTGTTATTTTTTACTAAAATGTTTACATTCATAAAGAAATCCCGAAGTTTATTTTTACCTTTTTGAAATAAAATAAAGGTTATTTTTAAGGGAAAGACAACTTGATAACTAGTAGAACCGAAAAAATCTGGCTTCCACGCTGGTAATCTGGGTTGGCCCAGTCGGTGAGTCACTCTTTTGGGAGAAATCAACATTTAATCGCACAGAGCGACCAATATGACCTTGATATAATAGTGCAAAGACTCATTCTTTGGGAGGGACCGACATTTGGTCGCACAGAACAACAAATAGGACATCCATAGAATAGTGGAAAGACTCACTTATTGTATAGAGTAGCGCAAAGCTCATTTATTGTCGGTACACAATGAACATTTTAAAATGCACGTTGAAGATTCTTTTAAAATGCAAAATGAACATTTTTAATGTGCAAACATTTTAAGTATTTATTAATATTTTATAATGGCAAAAATAATATTTTTTATACATTATGAACATTTTTTAAACTTGTACGAGCAATTTTTTCTATTTCTTGATGTTTTAAATGCCATGATTTTTTTTAAATATTATGAAAAATTGTTTAATGATATGCATATTTTTTACAAATTAAGCAAACAAAAGTTTGTTCCATTCATAAAGACTTAACTATGATATTTAAAAAGTTGAATGTGTGTTAAAAAATCTTAATTATGTATTAAAAAATGTACAATATATTCGTATAAACATTCATTATATCTTTGAAAAATGTTCAATGTGCATATGGAAAATATCCAACTTTTATACAATAAATGTTCAACATGTGTATTAAAAAGTTGACTTGTATTTAAAAAGGAAAAATGGAGAAAATAAAATATAAAACTGAAAAAAATAAAGAAAACATAAGAAAAAGAAGGAAATCGGTCGGAACCTTCTGAAAACCACATGAAAGGTCGAAAACCAGTAGCCCAAGTGCATTATTTCATTTCGTTATAATAGAGGATTTACTTTTTTTGAGAATCTATAATAGAGGGTTTACTGCCGAGCAAAAGTTATACTTATATGTTGGGTTGGGCTTTGAAAAAAATAACTCCACGAATTGTCAAAGAAAAAAAAGTTCTACAACTCCACGCATCGCATCCGCCGCTCTGGACGTGCGGTCGTGCGCAGATCCGGAGAGCCCGCCGGCGATGGATCTCCCCGAAGAGATGCTTGCCGACATCCTGCGCCGCGTCCCGGCGCGCCACCTCGCCGCGTGCAGGCGCGTCTGTGCGTACTGGCGCGCCACCATCGACGCCCGCAGGCTGCTCCTCCCGCACCTCCTGCCGGGCGCGCCGCGCGGCGTCTTCATCAACATGGCCGAGGGCTTGCGCGACACCTACTTCTTCGCGCGCGGGGGGCCCACCGGCGGCGTGGACACCCGTCTCGTCGATGCGCCTACCAGGTGGTGCACAGCCTTCGTGGACCACCGTAACGGGCTCCTCCTGTGCGAGGCCAGCGAGGGCACGCGCTTCGTCTACAACCCGGCCACGCGGAGGTCGGCGGTCCTGCCGCCCGCGCCGCGCGCGGAGCCCTGGAGCGTCGCTTCCGCCGCGTACCTCGTGTTCGATCCCTTCGTGTCTCTCCACCACGAGGTTCTCCTGCTCCCCGAGCTGCCCGGCGAGCCCCAGCCCCCCGAACCCACCGACCCGCCGCCGCCACCGCCGTTCAACGTTGCGCGGCTCTTCTTCGCGGACGCCGAGTCGTCGGGGCCGCCTCAGATCGACACCGACGACGAAACGGACTACGAGGAGGACTGGTTGTCCTCGGACTCGGCGTCGGAGGATGAACCGCGGAAGCGTGCGAGGCCCCGTCAGCGCGAGCACGTCGAGGCGAAGGACACGTTGGGGCTTATGGAATGGCCGCCGTCGCCGTACGTGGTGCAGGTGTTCTCGTCCGAGACCGGCCGGTGGGGCGAGAGGGCGTTCGTCCGGGAAGGCAGAGCTCCAGGGACAGTGGCCGACATGTGGTCGGATCCACTGTCACCCAGCCACGGAATGGCATTTTATCTACCTGACTGCGGGCCGCGCCGCCGCTGCGCCGTCTACTGGCGGCAATCGCTCTACGTCCATTGCCGTGGTGGTTTCATCATGAGGTACATGAACCAATCATCATAGCAGCATCACATAACTAGCTACTGATAATTTGCTTGCTAAATTATCATATCTCTGCAGGTTGTCGCTGCTGACAGGAAAGTATGTGGTGATCAAAACCCCAGGAGTCACCAACGTTGCCGAGCGTCCGTGGGCTATGCCGCGCCTGAGCAAGTCTCGGAAGGGGGTTTACTGCACCATCATCGACATGCTAAAGCTCCAGGTATGGGTACTGACCGAAGAATCACCGATGGCGATGCCGGTGTGGGAGATGGCACATCATGCCGACCTCGAGCCCTCCATCAGGCAACTAATGCGCCAAAACCTTCAAAACTCAGAGAAGTCTTGGACCCTGGACGATCCCAGGAGACCGAAATCATGGACGGAGCAGAGATGCCGCGAATGGGACTCGGATAACGACGATGATGATGGCGCCGATGTCATCGGAGAAGAAGAAGGCGGGTACATTGGTTGGTTGGATTTCTTGGGGTATCATCCTCTCAAGGAGATTGTGTTGTTGGGCCACCAGTACGAGCGTTGCGCTTATGCCTACTACCTGAGCACTTCCAAGCTTGAGTACCTTGGTGATCTTTGTCCGGTGCCATGGGATGAGCATTATCCCGCTTGCGTGCAGGAGTCGTACGTGTATACTCCGTGCAGGATCGACATGCTTTCTGATGAGAATGGTGTCTCTGTTGATTTGAGTAAATGGGTTTCATAAGCTAGATAGCTAATGAAACAATATTAGTGAGATATGGAGTAGTAAGAAGGATTTGGAGAATAAAATGCTGTAAATTTAGACTAGCCTTTACAATGCTGTAATTGCCAGGTGGAACTCAATGCTTTTTACATGTACATTTGCTTGCTGAAATTACTTTGCACAGTAAGTTTACACTGCTACACACGTTTTCATCTGGACAGTTTTTTTTTTGAAACGAGGCAAAAGACTTGCCATTTCATTAAATAAGGGAGAAGGTTTTAGACAGAAGCCGCAAGCGGCGGACAAAGGAACATTACTCTCGCGGCATTACAATACTCAAGCGCTTGGCACCCGCCAAAGCCCAAAGCGACGCCTCGTGCTTGATCTTGTTGATGATGACCATCGATGGAACCGCCACGTTGCGAAAGACTCTAGCATTCCTCTCAGACCAAACCTCCCAAGAGATGAGCATCATCAATGAGGCTAGGGCTTTGGGAGAGCCGAGACGAGTCTGAAGGTTGCTGTCCCACCATTCTTTGACCGAAGCGCTCGCCGTCCATGTAGTAGTAGAGATGTGGTGCATTCCAAGCCACGGAAGAATGTCTTTCCAAATGCGCAATGTGAAGCGGCACTGGAAGAGTAGGTGAGCAGCGGACTCCTGTGCTTGCTTACAAAGGGGACACAAGCCACAGTTGGGCCAGCCACGACGGATCAAGCGGTCTGATGTCCATATTCTGTTTTGAAGAACGAGCCAAGCAAAGAATTTGCACCTCGGTGGAGCCCAGGCCCTCCACACAGACTTGACAAGATCAGAGGATATGAGACCTTCGAATTGTGCCTTGTATGCCGATGCAGTAGTATAAATCCCATCCTTAGTGAACTTCCAAGTAATAGAGTCTTCCACATCTTCCTCAAGAGCCACCGTTGATAATTTTTCCCAAAGGTCAACAAACTGCTCGATATGCGCGATGGACAAACCATTGGTGCCATCAATATTAGTGATCCACAGGTTGTTGGTCATGGCTTGTTGGACCGATGAGTTCTTCTTGCGAGAAAGGTGAAAGAGGGCCGGCGCGATGTCACGGGGGCGCAAGCCATTGAGCCACGACGAGTTCCAGAATTGCGCCGTTCGTCCGTTGCCAACAAGGACCGTAGTGGCAGCCGCAAAGAAGTGTCGATCATCCTCCGTGCATGGCGTCCCCATGCCTATCCATGGCTTGCTCTTGTCAGTCCATTCAAACCATAGCCATCGAAGTCGCAGAGCCTTGGCGAACTTATCCAGGTTAAGCACTCCGAGCCCACCCTTGTCCTTGGGCTTACAGACGAGCTCCCAATTTACCTTGCATTTTCCTCCAGACACCTTGTCTGAGCCCGCCCAAAGATATGCACGGCGAATACTATCGATTTTCTTGCGGACCTCCAGCGGGATGTCGAGCGGCGTGAGATGGTAGATAGCAATGGCAGTTAGGATGGCCTTAACAAGAACCACACGGCCAGCAGAGGCCACATGTCTTCCCTGCCAGGGAGGGATCTTGCCCGCAATTTTCATATATGGACAGTGAGGTCACTAGAACTGCAGAAATCATATATGGAACCAAAAGAAAGGCTTCTGAGGGTAGATAAGGCAGGGACACCTCCAACTTTACTTCAAATGACTGGCCGTAGATGAAGTGCAAGCAATCAGCACATGGCAAGAAAGTGCCCTGACCAACATCCTCTTCATGAGGTGTTTCTTTGTGCATACAATCCCATGATGTATGCTCTTTGCGGATGATGTGGTGCTAGTTGACGATAGTCGGACGGGGGTAAATAGGAAGTTAGAGTTATGGAGACAAACCTTGGAATCGAAAGGGTTTAGGCTTAGTAGAACTAAAACCGAGTACATGATGTGCGGTTTCAGTACTACTAGCTGTGAGGAGGAGGAGGTTAGCCTTGATGGCCAGGTGGTACCTCGGAAGGACACCTTTCGGTATTTGGGGTCAATGTTGCAGGAGGATGGGGGTATTGATGAAGATGTGAACCATCGAATCAAAGCCGAATGGATGAAGTGGCGCCAAGCTTCTGGCATTCTCTGTGACAAGAGAGTGCCACAAAAGCTAAAAGGCAAGTTCTACAGGACGGCGGTTCGACCCGCAATGTTGTATGGCGTGGAGTGTTGGCCGACTAAAAGGCGACATGTTCAACAGTTAGGTGTGGCGGAGATGCGTATGTTGAGATGGATGTGTGGCCACACGAGGAAGGATCGAGTCCGGAATGATGATATTCGAGATAGAGTTGGGGTAGCACCAATTGAGGAGAAGCTTGTCCAACATCGTTTGAGATGGTTTGGGCATATTCAGCGCAGGCCTCCAGAAGCTCCAGTGCATAGCGGACGGCTAAAGCGTGCGGAGAATGTCAAGAGAGGACGGGGTCGACCGATTTTGACATGGGAGGAGTCCGTTAAGAGAGACCTGAAGGATTGGAGTATCGACAAAGAGCTAGCTATGGACAGGGGTGCGTGGAAGCTTGCTATCCATGTGCCAGAGCCATGAGTTGGTTGTGAGATCTTATGGGTTTCATCTCTAGCCTACCCCAACTTGTTTGGGACTAAAAGCTTTGTTGTTGTTGTTGTTGTAATGTTTCGTGCAAATTAAGATAGCATCATGAGAACAAACGTGACACCTACTGCTAAGCCTGGGGTTGGGGAGCAAACAGCAAAGAGACATCCAGTCTCCAACTGGGCAGCTTTCTCTGTGTTGTTTTCCAGGTCTTAAACTATCATTGCAATGTATTCTTTGTGTCCTTCGATGCAGATTAGCTTGAATATTTTACTCTTGATGCAGTTCTACTTTCTAGACCTTGTGTCCTTGCACACTGCTAGAGCTGAATTTGTTCAGAAAATAACCCTGATTAAGGTAAGGAACTGCCCCTGCCGACTGGCACTGCCGGTAGTTGAGCTCACCACAGCGTGGGAGCAGGTAACTTTAGTACTCTCTGGACAGAAGTTTGTTAAAAAGGGGTTCCTGGATAAGGTGTTGAATAAGTTTAGCCTTTCTCAACAAGTCAGCAAATCATACCAGCATTCCATTATTATCAACAAGAAAGTAAATGTCACCTAACTGGCAACATTATCTCTTGACGAACCATTTTAACATTCATTTGGTGCGGACCGCTGAAATGATTTAGACAGAGTTACATTTGCACGTGCCCCTCAAATTAACTACACCCACATAATTGCTTGTAGAAATTACTCTGGAATCTGTATTCCAGACTTTCAGGGATGCAATCTGATAAAGATCATACTCCTTGCTAGCATGCATTACTTTTCCACTCTTTCCAAAGAATCAAGAACTTATTGATCATCTTATACATCATTGAGAACTTAAATTTTGTAGCCAGTCGTTCTCAGAAAAACTTCTGTAGCCAGACTGAAAAATCCTATGCTACTTTTTCTTTCTATATCCAGCTGCTTTTGTAGGTACACTTAGTCAATGGGTGGATGGGTTGTGTTTGGGAGCCTCTGTCCAAGCACAAACGAGCGAAATAGGCCGAGAGCTCGGTCTGGTTGTGAAAATGGCACCATGTGAGATGCGCCCCGCACTGTTGCAAAGGTGAGCATATTACCGTACTCTGTTGCCCAGCCTCCAACCTTGAAAACCAAAGAGCAACAGACGTTACATTCATGTTCTATATCATCAAATTGGACATCTGCAGTTCAACTTGTGTTCATGGCATATAAGTATACCTGGCCTTTGCGGAACCAAGCACGGTACGGCGCTGTGACAGGCAAGCCCATTGCATGAGCTAGCTCTCGCATAAGGGTTCGGGTGCCCAAGAGGGGCACGACAGAGTCTTGATCGCCGCTGTAACGTTAATCCATATTGTCATAACAAAGTGCACATGGAACGAAGGAAATTACGTATCTGAAAAAGTATACTCGTATATGGGGAGTACCAAAAGGTAAGTTGTTAACATACCTGAATATCCAAACTGGTATCTTCTGTTCCACTATTCTCTGAAGTAAAGGCAAGATGTTGATGTAAACATCCTTTCCGGTGAGATTCAGCACACTGGCACATGATTTTAAATGGTCCATGTGAGTTTCAGTTGCGAATATGAGCCGTTTGTTTACTATGACTCCCCTCTCTTTACATATTTACTGAAAGTACGAACGGATGTACTCCATCCGTTCCTAAATATAAGTCTTTGTAGATATTTCACTATGAACCACATACGGATGTACGTAGATGCATTTTAGGGTGTAAATTCATTCATTTTGCTCCGTATGTAGTCTATAATGAAATCTCTACAAAGACTTATATTTAGAAACAGAGGGAATATTTGACAGAAGTAGCAATAGAAGCACTTACTCACTGCACATGCTCCAGCCATAAGTTAGATGTGTTCTATTAGCATGAAGAGCATGCTGCACTTCTGGAAGATTGAAGTAGAAGGAACTTTCATATGACATGCAAACATCCACTCCTAAACTGATCTTGGTCACCTAGGTTGCACAAAAAAACTAGTCACATAAGAGCAATCAAAAGGTTCTGGTGTAAAATATCATGCACCATGAGGAAGCAAGCATACATATTTGCGCAATCTTAGCTCCTGCGTCACAATTGATGGGTAACAGACGTCAAGAATGACATCATAGTTGTCAACATATTCTCCAACCATAGCTTTTGCCTCGTCAATGGCATCATTGCATGACTTGCTCTCATTGTGGGGGTCACCGGATGTGTAATCCTCAAAATCACAATCCTTCTTTATGGCCAGAAATATTTCATTGGAGATCATACCATGAGACCAGAAGTACTCATATGTCACGCGGATATACCTGTCAAGCTCGAGTAACGGATTCCCGATCTACTCAAGGTAATCTCAGAGTTAACAAAATAGTACTAGTAACTACTCCCTCCGTCCCATAATAGTTGATTCAAGAGAGAACCAGGCTTTGTTTGACTACTTAGTACTTACAGCTACCCCCTTTATATTGAACTTAAAACCCTTTGATTTCTCATTGTGCATGAGAAGAACATCGGTTAGCTGTGGTATATAATGCCCTGCATTATTATTAACGCAAAATCACGCACCATAGAACAGAGATACTAACTGAAACGCAGATTCGTAAAGTAGAACTTGAAATTCTTCCTAACCCGCGTAGCTCTCTCCAGAAAGAAATAAGCTTCTTGATTTGTACTCTGGGAACTTCTTATACCAACCCAACAGAAATTTGTACATATCATTAGCTGCATATAATTAAAGAAACATACGGTTAGATCGACATGTTCAGGATAACAACCGGTATCCTGTGATGTGCACAATATCGCATCAGTTTACCAGTCTGTGTATCTCCTGTATTGTAGTCTGACGAAGTGTTGGAGTAGGACCATCCAACTCCAGCTGGTGATTCAACAAATAGAAGATTGGACACTGCAAATTAAGAAAGATAAAGCAACTAAGAGTTAGTAAGATCTACACTTTCTTTCACCTGTAAGATGTGATCAGAGAGATGGTTGTCAAAAGCTCAACCTTTATTCCATGATTTCTTGTTTAACCGAAGGCCTCTACCATCTCCTCTGGGATAAAATGGGCCGAGCTCCGTAAACGCGCCGCCTCCAACCGAAGAACAACCAGGACCTGAACATCAGTGCAATTTTGCAGCAACATACAGTTAGCAATCACATTTCCATACGTAGGTATGTACTGAGATCTTTATGCACATCATAGTGTAGCAAGGTACTGTGTTACATTACATCAAAGAAAAGAAGCACAATCTTTTGTGTGTGTGTGTGCGCGCGCATGCATGGAATGAAAGGAAAATGGTGCCTCGCTTCTTTTTAAAATTCTCAAGGACCACAACACACAAAGCCCAATGAGGCAAGGCTCCAAGGTACGCCCTCCATTTCTTTTTAGTTTGCATATAAAATTTGGTCAAAGCCAAACTTTAAAATGTTTGACTAACTTTATAGAAAAATACCAATATATTTACAATATGAAATCAATATTATTAGAGGCACCACAAAATTAACTTTCATATACCATATGACTTTGGATTGTAGATGTTCATTTTTTTTTATAAATTTGGTCAAACTTTGTTTATTTTGACTTTGACCAGATTTGGTCAAACTTTGTTTAGTTTGACTTTGACCAACTTTTATATGCAAAGTACTCCCTTCGTTCCTAAATATAAGTCTTTGTAGAGATTCCATCATAAACCACATACAGATGTATATAGATGCATTTTAGAGTGTGGATTCACTCATTTTGCTTTGTATGTAGCCCATAGTGAAATCTCTATAAAGACTTATACTCCCTCCGTCCGAAAATACTTGTTATCAAAATGGATAAAAGGTGATGTATCTCGAACTAAAATACATCTAGATACATCCTCTTTTATCCATTTTGATGACAAGTACTTCCTCCGTCCCATAATATAAGAGCCTTTTTTATTATAGTATAAAAAATGCTCTTATATTATGGAACGGAGGGAGTTTTCCGAACGGAGGGAGTAAAAAGAAACGGAGGGAGTAGTGAAGATGGTGACCTCAAAGATACTCACAAAATAGATTTATTTTGGATAACGCTAACGCCCACACGTGTGATGGGAGCCAAACCTGCCCACACGTCCTATAACACACAGACTACGCCATGTCACCGCATGCATGCATGTGGAAATCTTTTTGAATTTTCTGTTTCTAAAATGTTTTATTTTTTAAATGAAAAATTCGATTGAAGATCCGTTTTCACCATTAAACCCCTCGTGGCGAGATCTTTGAAACTAGATCTCATATCAATATATTTCGACGAATTTTTTTTTGGGTTAAAAGTTGTCGTGTCTGTTGCACATGAATTGCCATGATGTTTACACTGAAGTTGCCACGATATGTTTCAGCTATTTTCTTCTACATTTAAAAGTAAATTTTGACATATTATAAAACAAGGAATTAAGAAATTAGACTTGCGATGCACCATAAATTAAAATTGCCATGATACATGCACTTAAAATTGTCATGGTTCATAAAAAAAATATTTTCATGGTCAAAGTACTGGAATTGCCATCATCGAAAAATTAGAATTGTCATGATCTACAAACTAAAATTACCACATGGCAAACTTTAGTTTAAGCACTATGGCAACTACGGTGTAAACGTCATGACAACTTTTGGCCAAAAAAAATTTCGTCGAAACATATCAACATGAGGTCTAATTTTGAAGATCTCGTCGAGATGGATTTAATGATGAAAAGAGATTTTTAATTCGCTTTTTTAATTAGGAGATAAAACATTTTTAAGCCGAAAATCCAAAAAATTTCGGCTGATGTCATCTGTTCATACGTGGCAAAATGAATGGTGATGGAGGCGTATGGGCGATGTGCAAACGACCACACGTATGAGCGTTAGTTTTTCCGTTTATTTTTTGCTTGTCAGGTGTGGATCGGATCGGAGTAGATGATGGTCAACGAATGGGAGGAAGTTGTTCAGGAAACACTACTTGTTATCATGTGACCCCTGATGGGTGAACGAACACACAATGTGCAAGAAAAAGGTAGAGTAGAGCCAGGAGGAAAAGGTACAAGGAAATGGGTAGGTACTAGGTACAGACCTCCATTGAGCCAGAGCGTGAGCGGCTTGCCGGCGGCGTTGTCCTGCGCCTCGGCGAAGTAGTAGAAGAGGCTCCTCCCGGCCTTGTCGTCCACGTCCACGTACCCGGCGAACTGCCTGAACCCCACGATTGGCTGCCCGGGAACCCGAGCACGCAGCTGCTCGCGGCCCAACAAACCATGGCCACCGCCAGCGCTGCAGCTCGCCAGGAGCCCGTCATTGCCGCAAGAACCTCGAGAGTAACCGGAATTGGGAGAGACGAGGGAGGAGGGAGAGGTCTAGTGGGCTGGGTTCTTGAGTCGAGAATTCGGCTGATATATATCGGGGGCACGCAGCTTTTCTGCCCGTGACGTGGAAACAGTGCGGATTTTTTTTTCTTCCTTTTTTGAGGATACAGCGCCGATTTTTAATTCGTAGGTTGTTGCTGGTTTAGGTTTGGATTCCATTGTTTCCTTTTCTTTTCCACCGGTTAAGAGATGATAAATTCGACGGTGCTGAAAAATGTTGTCTATTGAATTGAATCATTATTTGTGATTTTGGAGGATGTATATGGCACATGTTGTGATATAAGGTGATGAATCTAGACTATCTTTTGAGTCGAAAAGTCTCCTCGTAAATGTTGGCATTGTCCATCTTTTTGCTGTCTACGATGCGAAATGCATAGGTGATTTTATTATGATATGGAGTGATGTTTTTGTTCATACTATATTGATTTGATTTTACAAGTAAATGCATACGTGCAATATGCACATTAATATTATTGAGAAAAACAATTGTACGTTGCTATTAGGCAGGATAACAATCACGCATTAATTACATGGATATTGTAGACGTTCATATCTGGCGTGATATTAACTGTACACTAAACATGTTAAGTGTTCATCATTGAAGCAATATAGGTCATTGCATTGACATGGTTTAATGAGCGAGATTTGTTGAATCTGTCCCTTTGTATCTTTTTATATCGATGAAAGGATAATGCTCGTGCATTGCAAGAGGATAATATGATTGTATAAATAAATGTTTATCAAATCTTTCCCGCATTAACATGATTCCGTTTGATAAGTAGATTAATGTGATTGAGCGGTGTGCTGTGAGGTGTGGTTATATCCGGCGTGGTGGGAAAATTCAGATGGATGAAAAAAAAAACAGTGGAGGGATAGGTGGGAAGGAGGAACCGGTTGACAAATAGTTCTACCTAGCAGGAAAAGAAACACTACTTATTCTTTAAGTGATAAAATAGAGATAGACATAATAGGCAATTGTCCGTGCGTTGGAAGGGGGCATCAATATCCCACTGGTTCAACATTAATCATGTGAGATAACTACATTTAGTATCCTCATGCACATCAAATAGCTTCTTCTTCCTTGTACTCTCATAATCTTCTCCCCAATTAATGCACATCACCGCCGTTAATGGTACATCCAGCTTGCACTCATCCAACCCGTCCACAAAACTAAGGTATGTCGCAGATGGACAAGCACCAAATCAACAAGTTGATCACGGTACCAAAGTATGCATCAGATCAACAGTCTTTAAAATTTGGTATCAAATAGAAAAAAAAACTTGGTTCATAGCTGGTACAAATGTAGAAAAAATAGATTTTGAAAATGTGCGGTATGTGGTTTGCTTGCAAATACTCTTATATATGCCTAAATTTGTCAACATAATGTAAGATTTGATGTGCACGCATGCATCAGATATATATCACAACTCAAGTTGGATGGACATGGAATTGACCCAGTGTTGCATAGATATGCACACATCATCAATCCACATGGTCAGGGCCAGAGAAAAAATATTGAAGTGAAGGCATTTGTGTGGAACCCTTTCTGACTCTACATATTCTATGCCCATATGTAGAATGAATAGAAAGGGATTGGTGGAATCGATTGTTTATTGCTTGAGCCTCGTGGATATACCAGAACAAATCCTAGTTATCTCATATTTCCTAACTAATCACGATAATCAACATCTCCCCGGAGTCACAACAATAGCGACCTAGACGGTGGGACTTAAGAAGAATCCGAAGGTAAGACGTCGTATATCCCCCCCCAATGGTAATGGTCAATGGATCACGGAAGTCGTGGCTGGAGTGAAAACCGGCGAGGTTGCTCAAGCAATGTAGCGCTCAAGATGCAACTTTATCCCGATCACGTGATGAATTCATGATTGGGGCAGAATCGCATTTCGAGCGCATAACAAGGTGAATATCATTACAACATGCCATGTACCGAATAGATGAGAATACCAGATAAATACTTACATTCGACACAAGCTACAACATGAATACATCAATACATAGCAATTATCATACAGAAGAGCGGAATCAGACTACGGATGAAATCATACAAAAAAGAAGAACTCAACATTTGTATGTGAAGGATATATGCCCTAGAGGCAATAATAAAGTTGTTATTTTATATTTCCTTATTCATGATAAATGTTTATTATTCATGCTAGAATTGTATTACCCGGAAACTTGATACATGTGTGAATACATAGACAAAACACCATGTCCCTAGTATGCCTCTACTAGACTAGCTCGTTGATCAAAGATGGTTAAGTTTCCTAGCCATGGGCATGTGTTGTCATTTGATGAATGGGATCACATCATTAGGAGAATGATGTGATGG